CGTGACCCCATAGGGAGCTCCACCGAAGGTCCCAGTGCGTGTGCCCGCATGCGTCCCGCACACTCATTTCGGCACACCCCTCACACGCTTCGTGGCCCCATAGGGAGCTCCACCGAAGGTCCCAGTGGGTGTGCCCGCATGCGTCCCGCAAACCCATTTCGGCACACCCCTCACACGTTTCGTGGCCCCATAGGGAGCTCCACCGAAGGTCCCAGTGGGTGTGCCCGCATGCGTCCCGCACACCCATTTCTTCGGCACACCCCTCATACGTTTCGTGGCCCCATAGGGAGCTCCACCGAGGTCCCAGTGGGTGTGCCCGCATGCGTCCCGCACACCCATTTCGGCACATCCCTCACACGTTCCGCGGCCCCATAGGGAGCCCAACCGAAGGTCCCAGTGGGTGTGCCCGCATGCGTCCCGCACACCCATTTCGGCACACCCCTCACACGTTTCGTGACCCCATAGGGAGCTCCACCGAAGGTCCCAGTGGGTGTGCCCGCATGCGTCCCGCACACCCATTTTGGCACACCCTTCACACTATTCGTGGCCCCATAGGGAACTCCACCGAAGGTTCCAGTGGGTGTGCCCGCCTGCGTCCCGCACACCCATTTCGGCACACCCCTCACACGTTTCGTGGCCCCATAGGGAGCTCCACCGAAGGTCCCAGTGGGTGTGCCCGCATGCGTCCCGCACACCCATTTCGGCACATCCCTCACACGTTTCGTGGCCCCATAGGGGGGCTCCACCGAAGGTCCCAGTGGGTGTGCCCGCATGCGTCCCGCACACACATGTCGTCCCACCCCTCACACGTTTCGTGGCCCCATAGGGAGCTCCACCGAAGGTCTCAGTGGGTGTGCCCGCATGCGTCCCGCACACCCATTCCGGCACATCCCTCACACGTTTCGTGTCCCCATAGGGAGCTCCACCGAAGGTCCCCGTGGCGCAGTCCACATGCGTCTCCTTTGCCCAGTACAGCGTTACGTGGCCCCATATGGAGCCCCACCGCAGGTCCAGCCAGCCAGCTAGCTCTCTTTGCTCCGCGCAGCGGGCGACCCGCGCGCGTCGCTGGGACTCCTCCGGGGCGACCTGCGCGCGTCGCGGGGGCTCCGTGCTGCGTTCCGCCCAGCGCCTCGCTCGCCCGTCGTCGCTCTGCCCAGCGGAAAGAGCCTTGCCCGCTATCAGCCAGCCAGCTAGCTCTCTTCGCTCCGCGCAGTGGACGACCCGCGCGCGTCGCTGGGACCCCTCCGGGGTGACCTGCGCGCGTCGCGGGGGCTCCGCGCTGCGCTGCTCCCGCAGCCTTGGACTTTTGAGTTCGCGGGCAAAGAGGGAGTAAAGGAAGGGGAGGAAGCGGGCGCGATCCTCGCGGGGGGGCGCGCCGACATTGGCGTCGCGGCGCGCGGGCGATGCCGTCGGGGAGTCCCGGGGAAGCTCCTTGCGGCGGCCACGCCCAGCGTCACGAGTATTCAGAGGCAGTCGTTGTCAAACTATTGGCATTCATACACATTTGCACCCCGCTTTGTCATATTCGCATTCATGCACGTAGACTCGCTCGCACGCAGATCATTCACAGTCAGACGCACGCGCGCAGATTCACCCGCGCTCAGACTCCCTACGTACTCAGATCAATCGTTTTCGTTCACTTTGTGTACCACGCCACTCATGTCGGCACGCCCCTAGCACGGTTCGTTGCCTCATAGGGATCGCCACCGAAAAAAATGAATCACTATTGCGGTACTCGCACCTGCGTATGGTTGGGTCCCTCGTCAGGCTAATACTTGGTGGGTCCACCCTGTCAGTCCTTTTTTGATCTATATAGAGACGGTGCCCCCGGGTTCCTCTTCCTCCCCTCCTCGGCCCTCCTTCCCCTCTTAGGGTTCGCATGCCTCCCCCACCACCATTTCGGAAACCCCTCACACGTTTCGTGGTCCCCCTAGGGAGCCTACCGAAGGCCCAGTGGGGGTGTTCGCATGCGGTGCCCCCACCCAGGCAGCGCGTTTCGTGGCACCATAGGGGAGCTCCAACAGAAGGCCCCAGTGGGGGTGTTCGCATGCGGTTTCCCCCACCCAGGGCAGGTTTCGTGGCCCCCATCGGGAGCTCCACCGTAAGGCCCCAGGGGGGTGTTCGCATGCGGTTTTCACCCACCCAGTACAGCGTTTCGTAGCCCCATAGGAGCTCCGCCGAAGGCCCCAGTGGGGGTGTTCGCATGCGGTTCCCCCACCCAGGGCAGCGTTTCGTGGCCCCATAGGGAGCTCCACAGAAGGCCCCAGTGGGGGTGTTCGCATGCGGTTCCCCCACCCAGGGCAGCGTTTCGTAGCCCCATAGGGAGCTCCACCGAAGGCCCCAGTGGGGGGTGTTCGCATGCGGTTCCCCCACCCAGGGCAGCGTTTCGTGGCCCCATAGGGAGCTCCACCGAAGGCCCCAGTGGGGGTGTTCGCATGCGTTCCCCCACCCAGGGCAGCAGTTTCGTAGCCCCATAGGGAGCGCCACCGAAGGCCCCAGGTGGGGGTGTTCGCAATGCGGTTTCTCCCCCACTCAGGGCACGCAGGCGTTTCCAGTGGGCCCCATAGGGAGCCCACGAAGGCCCCAGTGGGGGTGTTCGCATTGGGTTCCCCACCCAAGGTGCGGTTCCCCCACCAAGGGCAGCGTTTCGTAGCCCCATAGGGAGCTCCACCGAAGGCCCCAGTGGGGGTGTTCGCATGCGGTTCCCCCACCCAGGGCAGCGTTTCGTAGCCCCATAGGGAGCTCCACCGAAGGCCCCAGTGGGGGTGTTCGCATGCGGTTCCTCCACCCAGGGCAGCGTTTCGTGGCCCCATAGGGAGCTCCACCGAAGGCCCCAGTGGGGGTGTTCGCATGCGGTTCCCCCACCCAGGGCAGCGTTTCGTGGCCCCATAGGGAGCTCCACCGAAGGCCCCAGTGGGGGTGTTCGCATGCGGTTACCCCACCCAGGGCAGCGTTTCGTAGCCCCATAGGGAGCTCCACCGAAGGCCCCAGTGGGGGTGTTCGCATGCGGTTTCCCCACCCAGGGCAGCGTTTCGTGGCCCCATAGGGAGCTCCACCGAAGGCCCCAGTGGGGGTGTTCGCATGCGGTTCCCCCACCCAGGGCAGCGTTTCTTAGCCCCATAGGGAGCTCCACCGAAGGCCCCAGTGGGGGTGTTCGCATGCGGTTCCCCCACCCAGGGCAGCGTTTCGTGGCCCCATAGGGATCACCACCGAAGGCCACAGTGGGGGTGTTCGCATGCGGTTCCCCCACCCAGGGCAGCGTTTCGTAGCCCCATAGGGAGCTCCACCGAAGGCCCCAGTGGGGGTGTTCGCATGCGGTTCCCCCACCCAGGGCAGCGTTTCGCGGCCCCATAGGGAGCTCCACCGAAGGCCCCAGTGGGGGTGTTCGCATGCGGTTCCCCCACCCAGGGCAGCGTTTCGTGGCCCCATAGGGAGCTCCACCGAAGGCCCCAGTGGGGGTGTTCGCAAGCGGTTCCCCCACCCAGGGCAGCGTTTCGTAGCCCCATAGGGAGCTCCACCGAAGGCCCCAGTGGGGGTGTTCGCATGCGGTTCCACCACCCAGGGCAGCGTTTCGTGGCCCCATAGGGAGCTCCACCGAAGGCCCCAGTGGGGGTGTTCGCATGCGGTTCCCCCACCCAGGGCAGCGTTTCGTAGCCCCATAGGGAGCTCCTCCGAAGGCCCCAGTGGGGGTGTTCGCTTGCGGTTCCCCCACCCAGGGCAGCGTTTCGTGGCCCCATAGGGAGCTCCACCGAAGGCCCCAGTGGGGGTGTTCGCATGCGGTTCCCCCACCCAGGGCAGCGTTTCGTTGGCCCCATAGGGAGCTCCACCGAAGGCCCCAGTGGGGGTGTTCGCATGCGGTTCCCCCACCCAGGGCAGCGTTTCGTGGCCCCATAGGGAGCTACACCGAAGGCCCCAGTGGGGGTGTTCGCATGCGGTTCCCCCACCCAGGGCAGCGTTTCGTGGCCCCATAGGGAGCTCCACCGAAGGCCCCAGTGGGGGTGTTCGCATGCGGTTCCCCCACCCAGGGCAGCGTTTCGTAGCCCCATAGGGAGCTCCACCGAAGGCCCCAGTGGGGGTGTTCGCATGCGGTTCCCCCACCCAGGGCAGCGGTTCGTGGCCCCATAGGGAGCTCCACCGAAGGCCCCAGTGGGGGTGTTCGCATGCGGTTCCCCCACCCAGGGCAGCGTTTCGTAGCCCCATAGGGAGCTCCACCGAAGGCCCGCCCCGGTGGCGCAGTCCGCATGCGGTTCCCCCATCCAAGGCAGCGCTTCGTGGCCCCATATGGAGCCCCACCGAAAACGGCACCCACGACGCGTTACCAACAATTGCTTATGGTTGGGTCTTTCGCCAGGATAATTCTGTTCAGTTTCATGATCGTTCCGCGTTGCCTTCCGTCCGTCCCCCGTTTTGCTTTCCTTCGTTCCGAGTTGCCCTCTTTCCGTTCCGCTTTCCTTTCCTCTGTTTTCCGTGTTGCGTTATTGTTTTGTTTCGCTTTCGTGTTCCAAAGAGAACCATTTGGGTTTTATAATGGCATGTGTTCCTGTCGGTCAAACGTTGCGTTTTGTTGCGCGTTTCGTTGTGCAGGAGAAATCCTTCGTTGTTCTGTTCGTGTTTCGTTCCCAGTGCAATGTGTTGGGTATGTTCTGTTCTGGCCTGACCGTTGTTCGGGAATGTTCGAAACACCAGGACGACAACACAACATAATACAACAACTAAACATGTCCAGGACCATAGCACAACAGAACAGTAGAACACCGTTTGGGTTGCGCACTGCTTCCACTCCCATGATCGGCGGCGAGCCCGGGGGGAAGGGGAGAGGGGGCAGGCCTTCTCATAAGCTGGCGGGGCTCGTCAGAAGCCTCCACGGCTTCTCGGAAGGCGCGAGGGCTTCTGAGAACCCCCGCCGCCTTATGAGCAGGCTTGCCCCCTCTCGCTTCCCCACCTTGGCTCGCCGCCACCATAAGGTGAAAGAGGGGGAGGGGAGGGATGGGGTGCAGCTGGCCCGAGGGTTCAGAGTGAGGGGTGGCCTCTTGTTCCTCGCGCTGGCGCCCTCCGCCCTGGAGAGTCCTTCGTTTTGGCGTGTCCCAACGGCATGGTGCAGTGGGCCTTCGGCGCAGGGGCTCGTGCTCTTGATCCGCGGACGACTCTGTGTGCACCGTACTGCGTTGGCGCCTCCCGAGGCGTCGTCAATCCTCGACCCGTACGGTGCATACGCAGACTTTCGGCCCCCAGGACCGAAAAAGTTGTGCACCATGCCGCGCTGGGGCGCGGCTGCAATGGAGTCTGCGTGCGGTGCGGTGCATGGGCGCCGTTCTCGTACGTGAGCCACGCTCCGGTGGCCATGTTGTTTTGGCCGTGCTGGTGCCGGCGGGCATCTCTTCGCCCTCCCGCCAGCGCACTGGTGAGTCCGCACTCTCTCGCATGCGCCCAGGGCCAGGCCTTCGCCGCGAACGCGTACCAAGTCTTCCGGGTGCCGATCTCCGGGGGCGCTGCAGTTCCAGAGCCGTGCCTGGGCCTCGCAGGCGCGAGGGAGTCCATCTGGGTAGCCACTCGTGACCCCCGATCCTGGTGCGCATCCATTTGGACCAGTAGGGGTTCACGAGTAGGGGGCTCACTGCGCCCTCGACCGCGCGCAGCTTTCTGACCCACTGTGGTCATTCCCCTAATTTCCTTGAGATCTGACGTCGCGAACACATGTCAACATCATCCCAGCAAAAACTCGACAGGGGCCCTGGACCCCATTTTTCTGCGGCATTTTTCGAGCCAGATCGATCCGTGAGGGTCTTGGGCCCCCAAACAGGGAAATGTAACATTTCCCCGTGGTGAAAAGTATTGCGACGCCAGGATCTCAGAGTAAGAGTCACGGTCCGAGTGGATGGGCTGCAGGGGTTTACAGGGTTCACAGGGCGGCTGCCCGCCGTCGCGGACGTCGCGGTAGACTGCGACGCGGCCGGCTGCTGGCCGCTGGTGCTGCTGGGGGGGAACAGCAGCGCGGGGCAGGTGCTGGACTGCGCCAGCGGGCGGCGGCAGGAGCTCAGTATCATTCAACCTTTCCCCATCCCCACCTGGCCATGGTATCTCAGCTCCCACTGTACCGCCCCCTCCGTTGGTGATTGGCGAGCCCAGGGGGGGAAGCCAGAGGGGGCAGGCTCTCTGAGACGGCCTGTCCCCTCCCACTTCCCCCCTCTGCGCGCCGCCGAGTGCTTGGCTTTCGGGCCACAAGTCCCAGTCCCGGCCGTTCGGGACGATCCGGGCACCCCTCCCACGGACGGCTTCTGCCGAGGTGCAGCCGCCAGAGCGCATCCCGAGCCCGGCAAGCCGCCGCGAGTCGACGAGGACGCCCGAAGACCTCCCACGGCGCGAGTCCGACGCCCCAGCAAGTCCGACGCCCCCCGGACTCGCCCGCAAAGCCGAGGCCATGCCAGCGGGGAGGGGGATAGGCTGCGCGCCGCTCAGGACCTGCTGCTGGGCCCGCCCGCCGCCACGCGCCTGGCCCTGGCGTCCGGCGGGGGCGGCAGGGCGCTGGCGGCCACCGCCGCGGGCGCCGTGGTGGAGCTCGGGCGCGCCGCGGGCGGCGGCTGGCGCCCGCTGTGGGACGTGGCGAGCGACGAGGGCGGGGGGCGTCGGCCGTCGGAGGAGGAGAGGCGGCAGCACCCGAACGTACCTGCACTGCCGTGTGCATCTCCACCCCAAGGGGCGACGCGCGCGCCGAGAAATCCTACGGTGTATGCTCGGTGGCGGGCGCTGACTGGTCCACCGCTTGGGCAGCGATATATTCTTCACGCTTCGCTTTGCCCCACCAGTCCGTTCAGAAACGTTGCCCGTGAGAGCTGACGGGAAAAGGTACGAAAAGACACATCGTGAAACAAAGCGGGCAACCAGGCTGAACAGAGAGATCTCTGGGAGCAAGGGGGTGGCCTTCGAGGGCCTCTTCGGGCCATCCCCGGGGCCCGCGGGGTGGCGTGGGAATGATGATGATGATGATGATGATGATGATGATGATGATGATGATGATGATGATGATGATGATGCTGCTGATGCTGATGATGTTTAGCATCATCATCATCACCATCATTATCATCATTATCATTATCAACATCATCATTTTTTTTTACTACTATGTCTTATTCTTATTACTATTCGTATCACTATTATTAGTATCATTATTAGCATCTTGGTATTATTCTTCATCTTTCTAGTATTATGATGCTGCTGATTCTGAGTACTCTTATGATACTGATGTTGATGCTGCTGATGATTCTGATGATTTCATGATGATGCTGCTGATGGTGATGATGATTATGATTGAATGACATGGCGATGACGATGGCGATGCTGTTGATGCAGATGGTGATGATGCTGATGATGCTGCTGCTGATGACGATGATGATGCAGATGCTGCTGCTGATGTTAATGCTGCTGATGATGATGATTATGCTGCTGCTGATGATGATGATGATGATGATGATGATGATGATGATGATGATGCTGGTGATGCTGCTGCTGATGATGCTGCTGATGATGATGATTCGGATTATGATGTTGCTGATGCTGATGATGCTTATGATGCTGATGATGATGCTGCTGATGCTGATGCTTATGATGCTGCTGCTGCTCATGATGATGATGCTGATGATGATGATGATGATGATGATGATGATGCTGCTGCTGCTGATGATGATGATGATCATGATCATGGTGTTGATGATGCTGATGCTGCTGATGATGCTGATAATGATGATGATGTTGCTGATGCTGCTGATGATGCTGATTCTGATGATGCTGCTGCTGATGATGCTGATGATGGTTCTGATGATGCTGCTGCTGCTGCTGCTGATGATGATGAGGATGATTGATGATGATGATGGAGATGATGATGATGATGATGATGATGATGATGATGATGATGATGATGCTGATGGTGCTGATGATGATGATGATGATGATAGATGATGATGATGGGATGATGATGTGGTGGATGGTGGGTGGTGGTGGTGATGGGTGATGACAAGTGGGAGGAGGAAGAGAGAGGGAGGAGGAGGAGGAGTGAGGAGGAGGAGGAGTGAGGAGGAGGACGAGGAGGAGGAGGAGGTGGAGGAGGAGGGAGGGGGAGGAGGAGGAGGGAGGAGGGATGAGGAGGAGGAGGAGGAGGAGGAGGAGGAGGAGGAGGAGGGAGGAGGAGGAGGAGGAGGAGGAAGCTGCAAACCGCCTCTTAGGGCCCTCGTGGGACACTCTTGGGGCGCTCTTGTGCGCTCGTTTGGCCGTCTTGGGGCTGTCTTAGGACCCTCTTCGGGCTCTCTTGGGGCCCTCCTGGGGGGTGCTCTTAGGAGCCCTGGAGGGCCTCTTGATGCCATCATGGAGCTATCGATCAAAGGATCGGGGGTCCTAAATTTGCCTCCCCCCTCTGGCGCACTCAACATCGCCTCTTAGGGGCCCTCTTGCGGCCCTCTTGGGCGCTCTTGGGGCCGTCCGGGGGGGGGGGGGGGGCTCTTGGCACCCTTTTGGGCCTCTCTTGGCCCATCTTGGGGCCATTTTGAAACCTTCAAGCGCATCGCAAGCGAAGCGGCGATAAGGCATACATCACTGCTTTCCTAACGTTTTTACAAAGTTTGGGCTTCTTGGGGGGGCTCCCGAGGGGGGCTCCGAGGGCACTTGGAACCGTCTTGTGGCTCTCTTGGGGCGTCATGGAAGCATGTTTGAAGCAATATTGAGCCATCTTCGGCAATCTCGAGCCATCTTGGAGGCTATCTTGGAGCATCGAAGGCCCTGTAGGAGCTATCTTCGGCAAAGAAGACCCTCTGACACATCGCGGAGCCCCCCAAAAACCTCAGGGAGGGGAGGGGAGGGTACCCCTCCCCGAAGGAAAGAGTGGTTTTGGAAGGAAGGAACGATATCGTTAGACCACATACGCCCAGAGGGCTGTGTGTTTGTACTATGTGTTCGGTTCGGGCGTGCGTCTCCAAGCGGGGCGCACAGTCCTAGTATCCCCTTCTGCGTCCCCAGAAAGTCCCCATACCGCTGCCCGTGCCCCACTGTCGTCTTTGCGGGCCTCCTGGGAGGCCCTCGTCGCCACGGATCGATTCCCCTCGAACTTCTCCTCAGAACGCGCCCCGGGAGAGCTCCGCGGAGCAGCTGGTCTATTCCCCCACGGACGCGCCGACCTTTTTGCGCTTGCGCCATTCTTGGCCTGGCAGATCCTGGGCTAGGGGGCCACATGGGAACCCTACCCCTACCCCCCACGATTTCTGAGGGGGAGGGTGGGGGTCCACTTCGTTCGGGAGCTCCCGAGCAAAGCGAACCCCACCCTTCCCCTCAGAAATCGTGGGGGGCGGGGGTTGGGTTCGCAGGTGGCCCCCTGTGGGCTCGGGATCGGCGCCCGTGGATGCCTTCCCGGCTGGGGCCGGGTGGTGGCGTGTGCACTGGGCCCGGGGCCCGGGGGGAGCCCAGGCCCAGGATCTCGGTGCAGGTGCACGGGCGCAGCGTGCCTCCCGGCCAGGGGGCCGAGCTGTGCGCGCTGGGGGCCGAGGACGCGGGGGCCCCCAAACGGGGTGGTGCGGGCGAAGAGAACTATGCACGTGCACCGATCCTGGCAATGCCCATCCTTGACCCAGGATCGGTGCATATACCTTCCTGGCCAAGGTAAGAGGGCGCATGCACCGATTCTGGGCTCTGGCCAGAATCGGTGTATGTGCATAGTTCTCTTTCCTCTAGTGGTGGCCACATCCTGTGGTGAGTCGGCGGTTTTTCTCACATTTCGGCTCCCAGGGGCCCTCGCCAGTCCTCGGGACCGTCGAAAACCGACTCAGGCTGAAAAACCGGTCCTGGGGTATGGGGTGAGACTTCCTGAGGCCCCGTATTGAAAAATTCACAACGTCGGATCTCTGGGGCACCATGTGGTGAGTCGGTGGGGATTCGGGGTCACCGCACGGTTTTGGGATTCGGGTCGTTCTCCGAGGACCTCTCGGGCGACTGGGGCATCCGAGGTCCCAAAACCGTGCGTTGACGGACCGTGCGGTGACGTCTTGGGGGATTTCGAGGTCACCGCACTGTCTGTCACCGCACCGCTTCGGGACTCCAAAAGGACGGGCAGCTCCTCTTCTTCCGAAGAGGCGGGTCCGTGGAGCTGCGGAACGCGACCACCGGGCAGCTCGTTGGGGAGTGGTCCCTGGGAGAGCGGATCGCTGCCGGGTGCGCGCTTGGCGGCGGGTCGGTGCCGATGACGATCTCACACCTCTCCATACCACCACTCCATGCACTATTCCTTCTCGTCGTCCTCCTCCTCCTCCCTCCTCCTCCTCCTCTTCCTCCTCCTCCTCCTCCTCCCGCATCCTTCCATCCCTTCCTCCCTTCCTCCCTTCCGCTCTGCTCCATCCCTCCCTCCATGCCCTCTTCTTCGTCGTCGTCGTCCTCCTCCTGCTCTTCTTCGTCCTCTTTCTCCTCCCCGCAGTGGTACTGGTAGCTGCTCTTGCAATGCCCATCCGCCCAGGACCAGGAGCTTCCACCCCTACATGAAGCGTGACGCCCTCCTCCTCCTCCTCCTTTACCGTGGCAGCCGTGACAGATCACGCCGGCTTGCTGTCCAACCGCAAGTGCATCGTCGTCGTTGTCCTCCACCTCCTCCCTTCTCCTCCATCCGCCATCCTCCTCCATGCTCCCTCCTTCTCCCTTCTCCTCCATCCTCTCCACCATCCTCCCTCCTTCTCCTCCCTTCTCCTCCATCCTCCCTCCTTCTCGTCGTGGTCCTCCTCCCTCTCGCCTTCCTCGCGCCTCCACCCCTCCCCTCCCTCCGCAGGTGCTCGCGGTGGCGGAGGGCAGGGCCCCACGACTCCTGCTCGCGCGGCTCTCCGGCGCGCGCGCGCCTACAGCGGGAGAGCCGAGGGAAAAAGGAGCGGACCACCAGCGAGGCTCGGGGATGCCTTCGGGGGGGGGGAGGCCGCCGCCCGGAGTACCCCGACCTCCTCGCGTCGTGAGGTCAGGGGGACAAACAGTGGCATAAACATAACAAAAACTCGGAGGTCCGCGCGGATTTCTCGGATCGGCGCTGGGGCCCCCCGGCGGCGCTTTCGGCGCTGCCCCTGGCGCGCTCCGCGCGCCAGGGAGGGGGGTCCAGCGCCGATCCGGGAAATCCGCGCGGACCTCCGAGTTGTTATGTTTATGCCACTTCTTGTTCCCCTGGAGGTGTTCGTTGTCGGGCTCTCGGTGTCGGGGAGCAAGCAGTGTCGGGCAGGCAGGCAGTCCGGATCGAGTCAGTGCTCGGCCCAGAGCCGGGCGCGGCTGTGTTGAGCTCGGGCACCACTGCTGGGGCCCGAGTGGAACATGCGCGAAGTCTTCTTCGTGCTCGAGAAAGGCATCGTCCAGACTCACTTCATACCATCCTGCTTCAAAGTACTCCTTTGTAGACTTCCGCAGATAGTCGTCCCATCTCATCGCGGGCCGTCCTCGTGATCGTTCAGCCCCAGGACATTGCAGGTGGGTGCCAACGCGATACTCTTGCAGGCCAGCTGTCCGCCATCGTGCCTACTCGATGAGCCAACCTGTACTGCCGTCGTAGCATCTGGACGCTCCAGTCTTGCAGTGGATATGATGATAGAGCAACATGTACTTTCAACCTGATCCTCCGCATTGTGTCGTCCCACGGCTCGTCTTCCATACGAATCCAACCAACGCCGTTTCGTAGCATCCTCTGTTGAAGCACATCTAGTGAGCTCAATTGTGACCGTGTCATCGCACAAGGCGAGAGGCCATCCAATATTGTTGGAGTGATTAATGTGTTGAAAAAACTTGATCCGGGAGTGTATGCTCAATTGCCTGTCCATCAAGATGTTACGATGCCCATGGACTCTCATCCATGCTGTGATGGCCAATCTCAAAGGAACTCCTCGAACGCAGGTTGCCGCACAGCTTCCTTACCAACTATTTGTGGGCCATGTCGCCATTTAGGGCGTCCACGTGTTCGCCTCCGATGTCCAGCGGACCCACATTGATGTCTCATCCTGTCGTAAGTACCTAGGTTTTTCCGGCGTTAAGGCTGAGACCTATTTTGTCAAGTTCCTCTTTGAGCGCCGCGGCTATTATGATGAGATCCACGCGTGATGCCGCACAACTCATGATGTCGTCCGCGTATCTGAGATTCGTCAAGGTGCCCCCATCATCAATTCGAACACCTCTCCCCAGTACCCGGGCCTTCCATTTGCGAAGTGCTGCCTGAACCCCCGCATTGAAAAGCAGCGGGCTCAGAATGTCGCCTTGTTTGACGCCTCTCTGTATTTCAAAACGACGAGGCCCACGAGCTCGTCCGCGTTGGTTTGCATAGATTACAGAACATTGCGATGTATTCGTCTCCCACGCTTTGGCTCCGGAGTGACTCGAGCAGCGGGCGGAATTCAATTCGACCGAAGGCCTCACTCAGGTCCCAGACTTACACACCAAATAGGCACATTCCGTTCCCAGTACTTGACACTCGTCTACCGATCGTCTACCGATCGTCTACCGATCGTTTATTTCGGAATCGAATTTGGTCGTGTGATTGTTGGGCGTCCAACACACCACGAGGGCGGTGGTACAATAGTCGTGCGAAGAGCTTGTAAGATCTTCTTAACATTGCGACGCGCCTCCAGTTCTGCGGAAGGCTCAGGTCACCAGCCTTCGGTAGCATCGAAAACACCGTCTCTCTCCAGATCGGGTCAATTATACCATCATGCAACATCTTATTGAACAGGTCAAGTAAAACGTCCAATAATTTATCTGAAGACGCTTTGAACAGTTCCGCTACGATCCCAAACTCCCCTGACTCCCTCCAGAGTGTCATCAGTTTCAGTGAACGTCGAAACGCTCACATAATAAAAGGGCGCATCTTCGTAGAACAGCCGTGAAATATAGATTGTACACTTGGTGAACTTATCCAGAAGAGTACGTGCATCCAGTCTTGAAGATCTCCTCCAGATAGTTGGCAAACTCATCCGTCCCTGCCTGCCCGCCGGAGCCCACTCCATGGGAACATGCTGGTAATCTCCTTGCGTCGTTGATCTGGTCAAGCTCGATAAATTCGTCCAGGATAGTTTGGACACGTTGACTTTTATGCCTTCTGAGCTCCCTGCAGATATGCTTCCGCATTGCTTTTGAAAGTTCTCTGTGCTGCTGGGGGTCGCGTGCATAACGCCTCTGTTGAAGATCCTGAAAGTGCGGTGAATCCCATGGCTGGTCGGTGAATCGTAGTCGCTTGCTGCACGCGCCCTCCCCATAAGCTGCCGCCGTGCCGAATCATATCGCTTCTGCTTCGGATAGCGATGACGGCGCGTTGTGCATGAGCTTCTCGTTCGAGGCCTTTTGGAAAGTAGCGTCGTCTTCGGAAGGAGTCCACCCTCGCATCGATGATCATGGCCCCCTGGTTCGTCGGCCCAGGGTCCTCCCAACGAGGAGCTCCGCGACCACGTCGCAGTGATCTGACCCCCTGTCTACATATTCTGACACATTCCACGTCGACACGTGCAAATACGAATACATACAAATTAAGTCAATCTTTCGCACTTGTCCCAAGCGACTCTTCAAGTCCAGCTGTGCTCAGCACGGCTATTCCCATCCCCATTGACGACTTTCAGGTTGAAAGCAGCCGCCATCTCAGCCACCTTCTGACTACGAACTCCAAATCCCCATTGTGACTTGAAATCGCCCCCTACCACGACAGCACTTCCATCGCGAACTGCTTGTGCCAATGTCTGGTGCACTTGTTCGTACACTTGGTCCAACGCTTCAGCCGGATATCCCGCATGAGGTAGGTAAGCAGCACACAACGAAATCATCCGATGCGCCAGCTGCAAATCAACACGAAGCACTCGATCAGAAACGAAATGTGTCCAGCGGATGCTGCCAACCAGCCGTGCATGTAGCAATGCACCCACACCTGATGCAGAGTAATCTTCACGATGCAAGTATAAACGATGCCCACCCTCCAACTCCACTGTCCCAATCTAAACTCGTCAATTCAACCATCAGCTCTGCAAGTCTATGTTGGCCATTGAGCCGCGCATTCTTGCAGAACACATGCAATGCCCCATCCCGTGGATGGGGTGAAACTGGACTCGATCGGTGCTGTCCCTATTCCGGGCCTTCGGCCCGTCCTGCATTGCTTTAGCTCTTGCCTTTGCTCTTGCCCTTCTCAGGCGTGAGGCCTCTTTGCAATCTTCCTTTGTACATGTGCACCATCTCTTTTTTCACAGCGAAGAACATCTCCCCAACCTTCCCCACATTCTGTAATGAGACCCGTGCAGTCCATCCCCGTGCTGATGACTTATCTCCACCTGCGTACAACGTTCTGTTCGGGATACCAACCCACACGCATTTCCTATCGCAGTCCCACTCCACCAAGAAACGTTTGAGAACAAACAGAAGTTATAGTGGAATCCGTTCGCCCAGAGGGGCGTCTGGAAGCATGTTTATTTTTATCTCCGTACTTCAAAACCTGGAGGTCCGCGCGGCTTTCTCGGAGCGGCGCTGGACACCCCTCCTTGAAGCGCCAGGGGCGGCGCCGGAGGCGCTGCCAGGAGGCCCCTGGCCCCAGCCTCGATCCGTGCCATCCGCGCGGGCCTCCGAGATTTCAGATGCATGGCCTGGTTTCTGTCCGTTTTTTATTCGTTGTTTTGCGGATCGGCGCGGGCCCTCGGACCCCCCCCTCCCCCCTTCCCTGGAGTGGATCTTGGCTGTTTTTGGTATCTGTTTCGAGCAGGTTGAGTCCCTCCCCCATAGGACGCACTGTCGCAACCAGTCGCACTAAGCAGAGGTCCGGAGCCAGACCCCCCCCTCCCCTCCTTTTCCGCCCGATGTCGACACGCCGAATTAAAGTAACGCTCACTTTGCTCCGCGATACAGAGCCCCAGGACCGTCAGTGCGAGGCCACATTGCAATACGTCCTATTTGCGTATTTGACTTATGACAATGTGGCCTCGCATTGTTCTCTTGCCAGGGCTGTCCGAGCCTTGCTGTGTGTCCCGTCGCACGGCCTTTGGCACAGGCTCAGGAGCCGCTGGGATTGTGGCTCTGGTGGTGTCTCAGGCTTCGGGAATTCGGCGGGCCCTCTCGAGATCCTTTGGGGAAGAAGCAACAAAAAGAGAGAGCCACAGGACTGCCAAAAAGCAGCTCAGGATGAAAAGCCAGTCTCCAGGCAGGGGTCGAGATCTCGGGGCCGGTACCTCGGTGGCCAGTGGAGGCCAGCTAGGACTACCGTCACAGTGGCTTCCTGTGCACAACCCCCGTCCTCCAGGCCTTCCACACGGGGTCCGAGTAGATGGGGTCGGCGGATCGTGCCGCATCGCCGATGCATCGGGGATGCGGGTAGATGTAGAGCACGATTTTCTCCACACCGACGTCGCCGAAGCACTGCCAGCATTGCCGATGCACTGCCGATGCATCGGCGATGCGGCGCGATCCTCCGACCCCATGTGCTCTCCCCATGTGGACGGCCTCCTATTGCCAAGGCACCGCCGACGTCGCCGATGTATCGCCGATGCACCGGCGATGCATCGGCGATGCGGCGCGATGCTCAGACCCAGTGTGCTCGGACCTCATTTGGAAGGCCTTCGAGCCTTAGCCATTGACCACCACCATCACCGCCCTGGCACGCGTGCTCCGCGTGCAGCATTGCGCGGTTCACCGCCTCGTGGGCGGGGCAGACCTGCGGGTCCTCCCTCACTCCCACCGCCTCGCCCCTTTTTCAATTTTCCCAACCATCCTGTGGTGTTGGGTCCTCGTTTTGAAGAGACGGTCCCCGCGTCTCCTTCCTCCCTCCTCCCCCTCCTACTTCCTCCTTGCGTTCCACCCACCCACTACAACGTTTCGTGGCCCCACAGGGAGCTCCACCGAAGGTCCCAGTGGCGCAGCCCGCATGCGTCACGCACACCCATGTCGGCACACCCTTCCCACGCTCCGTGGCCCCACAGGGAGCTCCACCGAAGGTCCCAGTGGCGCAGCCCGCATG